TAGCTAAAATATTGAAATTCGATTAAGATTAGAAATCCATGTAATTATAGTCGTATTTGGTAAAGTTTTAAATATTATAATTTTATTCAACATGAAATTATTTTGTGAAGAGGAAATTTATCTTTTGAAGGGTATAAAAGTCAATTAAATTTAAGGATTTTTTTTTTTTTTTTGCATTTAGCGTTTTAATATTCGTACTTTTATAATAGAATATTATACATTAATATGCGAAAATTTTAACCCAATTATGTAGAATAGAAATAAAATATACAAAAAATTATACACAATTACCTACCAATTATTCAAAACAAAGGGAGAAAAAATGATATGTCTTGATATTATATTATACTAAATAAAATAAAAGTTAATAGCTAATATATATAAACTTTAATAATCGAAAAAAAATGAAGCGTATGAGTTGGTAACAGTTGCCTACTTAAACGATTTCAAATTCATGGTGAAATTGACCAAAATTCAAGTAGTTAGGTATTTAGTAGAATTCAAAGATCGAAATATTTGGTAAAGTAAAATTTACAATTCTACCCATATGGATTATCTCTTCGAATGACGTTAACTTTTTAAGGGTATAATAGTCGATCGATATTTTAAGATATTTTTATTGTTCAACATTTAGCGAAAAATATTCGCGCTTATAGATATGTAGGTTAGAGTCGCTTTTGGAACACCAGCATAATTGGGTCAAATTCTTCTTGTTTAGATTGTCATTGTCGTGACAATATATTGGGCTCAACAGATTTAGGCCTTTTAATGTAATAACGGATTGTGCTGAAAACAAAAAGTGATGAAGTGTAATAAAATGAGCAAACTTCACTTGTAGCCATCCGGGCCAAACTTATATCATTCGGTAGCCCAAAATTATAATACTCAATTTATAGCCCAAAAACAATTGTAATGGCTAGCCCAAACCTATCTTATCCGCTTCCTTCCAAATATTATTCTGACAAGGTTTTATATTATCCTCGTACTAACTCGGTGAACTAAAGTTAACGGGAATTCCATAAAATATATATATAATTCTGATTTTATCTTTACTAAAAGAGAAGATTGTGCTATAATATTGGTGCTGAGTTAAGGAAGTTATATTAATTGAAGTTTGTGCAGAGCAGTCGTAATATTGCTTTTAGCGCCAAGAAAAGAGCAAAATAGATATTGTGTTTTTCCACAGCTCGTGGTTTTCCCATTACATTTGTGTAGAGAGCAGAAAACGTTATTGTAACTTTAGTTCTAGTTTTTTTTTTTTTTTCCTTTTATTCTTTCGGTTAAAATTGTCTGTCACTATATAATTTATATACAATTTATATAATTTATATTTTGTATATTTTTTTCCTTATATAAAATAGACTATCACTATATAATTTATATACAAATAGAGTGTCACTATACAAAATATATACAACAATAGATGTAACTATATAATTTATATACAAAATAGATGTAACTATACAAAATATATACAAAATAAGCAGTCATTATACAAAATATACACTAAATATACTGTCATTATACAAAATAGATTTCCACTATACTAATATAGATGTTACTATACAAAATATATACAAAAAAGACTGTCACAATACAAAAATGCATGATACACTCAAAAATATTAGAAAATACACATTATATACAATTTTGATACATTGTTTAGACAGATTATACATTCATGATACAAAATATATTTGGGGTACACAAATATATACACTTTAAATACACAAGCACAATTGAGATATGCTCAATATACACCAAGGATACACTGTCGAACTTAGGATACAATATTTATACATTGCAAAAAAAAGATTGCTACAGCGCACTAGGTAGGGGTCGAACTTGCAACTTCAACTTAGGAAAGGGGCGCCCTATCCACTGGGCTACATGCACTTGTGTTCTCATAATCCGTTCGGTTACTATATGAAATATGTTTGGGCCGAAGGGCCATTGGTTGAAAGTGGTACAAAAGATTGGGCTATTAAAATTTTGAGGGGCTATAAAGGGTAGTTTTCCCTAATAAAATACGCCGTTACCTATACTAATAGTAAATCCAGGGACGGACCCACATGGAGTCAAGAGGGTCATATGAACCTGCTTCGTCGAAAAATAACACTGTATATATAGGTAGATTTCATCTTTTTCCGAAGGTATTGCTTTATAATTAAAGTTTGAACCCACTTAAATTAAACTAACTGTTTAGCCCCACGTTTAAGTGGGTTCAAATTTTTTAAAACGACTTGAGTTCGAAACCACACGACAACATACGCGCACTACAACCGTTTCCTATTAACGCAGCAATGGAACTACCTTTTTTCTTTTTTAAAGAATAGGAAAGCTTTTTTTTCATATATATATATACACTTTAGAGGAAGAGAACTACACTGTTTAATTTCTTTTTCTTAATTAGTTTGTGATTAGATTTTCATTGATGATTTAGAATTATTATTTTCTACAATCCGAGACTTTCAGTAAATGAATTGAATGTTTTCTTAGTTAATTAGTTTATGTTGAGCCATTAGCATTCAATTCCATTTACTATTGTTTTCAACTTCCCATTTAGTTTGTGTTTATATATTATTCTTAGTGACTTAAATCGTCTTTTTGCTCATTAATCTACGTTTCAATTTAATTACAAGGAAAGTAGCATGATGTTAGTTAGATTTGATTCTATATTAATTCTGATACTAGTTTAAATTAAAGTTTAAACATATTTATTCAATTATTGTTCTAATTAAAATTTTAATTTGATAATCCAGTTTAAAATTTGGTAAAGAGATTTTACTCTCCAATCTTTCTAATTGCCACAGTCAGTGTATCATCTCAAATTTGCCCCTCTCGTAGAAGAAATTTTGAAAACAATTAGGAGAACAACATGATTCTTCTAAAAAGTAAAGGCATGGAGTAGATCTGAATTTTACGTGTCGTTTTATAAACATAAAAATCAAAATCAAAATTAAGCACTTACAGAATCTTTTGTTTTTCATAGAAAAAGGGGATAAAGTAACAGCGTGCTTACACTTTTATTTAAAATTTTACAACTTTTCTTCTTGTACTTTCTCCATACAATCAGAAAAGATGAAATGTTTACATGTTTCAAATTTTCATGTTGGTAAATAAAAAAATTTAATTACCAAAAAAAAATCTTTGGTCAGAAGTTGAAGAATTGGGTCTTGTCAAGCTACAAGAGAAACTTCTTCAACAAGTTCTCAAAACCAAGGAAATCAAAGTTGGAAGTGTTGCTCAAGGCATTAATCTAATCAAAACAAGACTTGGGTCAAAGAAGGTTCTAATTGTTCTTGATGATGTGGACCATAAAAGATGGTTAGAATCCTTAACAAGAGAAAGAAGTTGGTTTGGTTCGGGTAGTTTAATAATCATTACCACTCGAGACGAGAGATTGCTATGTCATCCTGGAGAAAGAGAGAGATATGTGGCCAAACTATTAAATAACAATGAAGCTATGTTACTTTTTTGTTGGCATGCTTTTTACAGTCATTTTCCACCACAAGATTATGTTAATTTGGCACAAGACATAATCAAATATTCAGGTAGGCTACCATTAGCTCTTGTGACATTAGGGTCACATTTACAAGGAAGTTCTGTAGAAGAATGGAGATATGAATTAGAAAAACTAAGAGAAATTCATCATCGTGATATCCAAAAGATTCTCAAGATAAGATTTGATGGACTGGATGATGAAACACAGACCGTTTTCCTCGATATTGCATGCGCCTTTCATGGGTTTAATGAGCGTGAAGTTATTGAAATATTTAATGCATGTGGCTTTCATGCTAAAAGTGCAATTGCAACTTTAGTCCAAAAACACTTACTCCAAAGATCTTGGGACGGTTTGGTGATGCATGATCTAGTGCGAGATATGGGAAGATATATTGTTCGCATGGAAACAGCTCGAGACCCTGGAAAACGGAGTAGATTGTTCATCCCTCAAGAAGTCTGTGATGTTCTACAAGGAAATAAAGTTAGTAAATCTTTTATCCTTTATCTTGGTTATAATATATTTTTCGATTTAATTGTTTATTGCTTATAATGTTGTCATCATAATATATAAGTGAATTCATTTTGTGCTTCGTCTATGGTTAGTTTTGTAGTTGTTTGTCAACCATTGTAAACTAGAAGTGACATTTGCTAAGTTATTAACTCACACCAAAGGAAAAAAAAATCACATATTTAACAATTATCCAAATTTGGTGATGCATATTTCTTATTAAATTCTTATAACTAACATGCTAATGGGCATCGACCATAGTATATCCATGATTAGTTATTCAAAGATATTTGACTTTACTTAACTAAATGTGGAAATTAAGCTTGCTCGAAGAAATAAGGTATGTGAACGTTTGGAAATTGTTGAATCCGTACATATGTGAAACATTATTTCTAGAACAATATGTACAAGTATATATTCTTTTAAATATATTCAAATATATATTCTATCTTCTAGTGCTATTATCATGGTTCCCATTCACACAGTATCAATATGTTCTCTTTATTCATTTTTTTCCCTTTGATATTATCATGTGAACTAAGTGAATGCTGCTGCTAGCCAGGTTTGAAAGGCTCTCATCTTACATTTTTGAACAATTTTAATTTGTTTAACATCCTCTAATGTGTAAGTTCATTTTTGTTGATACATGGTGTATTCTCTTTGTTTGTCCACCAATTTGTATAAAGCATTTTTCTCGCGTAATTTCTAGGATTTAACGAGTGCTTAAGTTACTTTTCTTTTTACTGAGCTGCAGGGTTCCGAAAATGTAGAAGTACTGAAGGTAGATCCAGGGGCATTAAAGACAGTGAACTTGAGCACCAAAGCATTTGAACAAATGAAGAATCTTAGGGTGCTTATAATCAATGAGTTACATATTAGTGGCGATTTTGGGTGGTTGTCCAAGAATCTCAGATGGTTGTCGTGGAAAAAATGTCCTTTAAAATATATACCATCAAATTTTCCAGCTGAGAATCTTGTAGTTATAGATATGAGGGAGAGTGATATCCAAGAATTTCAATTGAATTTGCAGGTTTGTTGCTAAATTTTACAAATTCACATGTACTGTTATTGCCTAAGTGAAAGAATTTCTTAATTGAATCTATATTTGGTTTACTTTTAGTGTTGTAGAAGTTTGAAGAAGCTGGATCTCTCTGATTGCAAGCAACTTAGAAGTACTCCAAACTTCAACGGTTCACTGAGTCTTGAACATTTATCGCTTGGTGGTTGCTCAAGTTTGACGGAGATCCATCCATCGATAGGAAATTTGTCCAGACTAATTAAACTATATATGCGTGGTTGTGAAAAACTTACGTATCTTCCTAGCAGCATATGCCAGCTAATATCCCTTGAAGTATTGTTCATTCCTCACTGCTCCTCTATAAAAAAACTGCCAGATAACCTTGGAGATATGAAAAGTCTAAGATTTCTTTATGCATCTTATACGGGTATAAAACAATTGCCTAGATCCATTGAAATGCTACGAAATCTAGAAAGATTGAAAGTGGGAGGTCGAAAGTTAGAGGCCAAAAAGAGTATTTATGGAAGAGGAGTCCATCAGATACAATATTCCATGCCAACTTTTGTATCCGATTTGAGACTTAAATACTGTAATTTGTCCGAGGCTGATATTCCTAAGGATATTGGGAGCTTATCCTCCTTAGAATATTTAGATTTGAGTGGCAACAGTTTCTATAGTCTACCCTTTGATTTTTCTAAGTTACGATTGCTGAAGGTGTTGTCTTTGAATGATTGTGAGAATCTCCAAACACTCCCGTCAGTATCAAATTTAGAGAATCTTAGAACACTTCAAATTAAGAATTGCCAAAGATTGGTCAAGATTACAGAGTTGGACAACCTCCCTTGTATAGAGCAGATTAATATGATAGATTGTAGTTCTCTACATAATCCATTCAATGAAGGCTTCTTTAGTGCACCTGCTCTATCATTTCCATCTAGAAAAAATCAACTTATGGTCAGACATCTGGATATGGTTAGACATCTGGATATGGTTAGACTTCTGGATATGGTTAGTCTCTCTCTCTCTCTCTCTCTCTCTCTCTCTCTCTCTCTCTCTCTCTCATATTATATTAATGATCTTGAGTTTTTGTCAGATGCAGCTTGATTTAGAAATTTTTCTCGAATGCAAGGAAATTCCAGAATGGTGCAGGAATCAAGTAACAGCTTCATCTATGTGTTTGACTATGCCGACACATAATAATGATGAGTATAACTTCTTAGGAATGGTTCTCTGGTTTGTTATCGACTCTCTGGATGCAGCCCCTTATCCATGCCACAGGATTAGTATTGCCCATAAAGAGACTGTAATTGTTCCGTGGAGATATAGCTTACATGAGGCTTTTGATGGACATAGAGATATTGCTTACATAAGGCTTTTGATGGCCTCAAATGAACGTTTTGATGGCGAGATGATTAAAGGTGGGGAAAGGATAGAAGCATGGTCTGAAGAAGTTACAGTAAAGAAGATAGGGATCCATCTGTTATATTTAGACCAACATGGTAATGTTATATCTTTGCCCGGAGATGTGGATCATTCTTATTCTAAGTACCCAAAAAGAGTTTCGACAGGCTTATCAACTCCTCCTTATTAAAAAGCAAAGTTCTGAGTTAAGATAACTTTCCTTTAGAGTTAATCAAATTGTATTTTATATTACACTATTAATATGTAGTTGGTCAGATAATTTTTTATTGATATTTGTTATATATATATATATATATATATATATATATATAAAATATATGTATATATATTATGGATGTTCATTTAGTATTCCGTTGTAAATAAGCTTCCAGAAGAAGCTTATCATTTCGGTACTCCGTTATGGATAAATATTATCCCCAGTAGAAGATTATCTATATCTGGTACAGTAGCAGCTTACAAGCAACTTACAAGAAGCTTACACAGCAGCTTGCAGTAGCAGCAATAAATCTCTCTCTGCTTGTCTTTGATTTATTTACTTTAAAAACTTTATTTTATAATAATATTGATCTTTTTCCAAATATTTGTTATATATTTTTTTCTATTATCAACTTTCCAAATATGGAGAAGAATTTATAATTGCTCTGATTTCTGCCAAGGAAATTGTATTTAAAATGAATATCGAACCCGAAGGTGGAGACATGCCATCCTTGCCTACAAGGTGGAGCATTTTCATCATACTCAGCACAACAGCTCCATCTCTTTTTCCAGTTTTTTCTTCCTGTATTTGGCATCTTATCCTTGTCGTTCCATTTATAGACGATTACTCCAGATCCATCGCTCCATTCTCCATCGATTCCTTGATGAGGTGGAGTCAGAGAAAATAGTCATTTATCTCATGCGACGCTCAAAAAGCAAACATCTATATCTATATATATGATGATCAAAACTAAATAGCTGCGAAAGAAATTAATGAATAGAAGTCAGAAAGTCAAAGTCACAAGTGACTCACTAATCATGCATCAATCTCACACAACGGATTAATTTGCCACAGTAAACTCTGCTGAGAAATACCTTCTATCCACTTCAAAATGTTGGATTTTTGTACTCTTAAACTAAAAGATTCAGCAGTGAAATAGAAAATTTAAGCAACTGTACTAGGATTAAAGGAAAACGTCCATATAAAGGAAGATTTTTCAAATAATTAATTTGATCGTGTGTGATAAGGTCTGCGTACACACTATTCTTCCCAAACCACACTTATGGAATTATACTAGTTTATGTTGTTGATATCATGTGTGATAAGGACAAGAGTCACTGATCTAGATAAAACCAGACTATACCGTCCAGAGAAAATGACAAGACATCGTGGAAACATAGGCTATTAGAATCCTTGAAAGCTACATATATAGCTCCAGACCAAGACAGAACTCAGATAGTGGCAATTCTAGATATCCAAATGTACGATAAAGCTATATTGCTCGGACTCTTCAAAAATGCCTTTGGTTGCGTGTTGGATCCTCCAAAAGTAGTACGTTTTTGGAGGTTCGAACACAGTTTTGGCAACATTTTTGAGAGTATGAGAAATATAGCGGCGGACTACCCCTGGAAACCCCCGTGCTCCTATTTGGTCCTCCTAAATCTATTCTCTCTATCTTCCTTCCTCTTGCTTTTTGACATACATTTCCAGTTTTCTCTAAGACCTCAATCACTTCAAGGTTCTCTTTTCAGCTTCTGGCGTACCAAATAGCAGCAGCTTCAACACAATTGTTTTTCTTCAGATGAGAACATGTTACTAGACGCTATACAATCCAAATGCCTTATCCTCCTCTGTCTTGCTCATCCATAAGTTATACTGGATGGAAATGGTATCTCGCGCATTTTTAATAATGCACAAAAAAATCCAAACTTATTAATAATGCGCACTTTTAATAATGCACTAGGAGTACTCGTCTGCAACAATTTCTTGTCCCCAATAAATACTCAAATCAAGTAACAAAGGCAATTGGAGGAAGAAGGGTGAAACAAGGGTCTGAGTAAGTAATACTCTAAGTGGGGTAGACGATAAATCAACACAGAAGCAAGCCAGTAATGGAAGATATCGTGGTTACTCAACTACTGCTTCACCTCAAACAGTGGCAATTTTAGATGTCCAGATGCAAGACAGACAATTCCTGGAAATTCCCATTGCCACAGCCCAGGTCCAACACATATTTTCCGCTTTGGTCCAACAGACCTCACGGATTTATCCATTGATCTACGCCATCATCGAATCCAATAGCACGCATACTACGTGAACTTGTGTTATGTCTTATGAAACTCTTCATTTTCTTATCCCATTCCAGTATGAGATTCATCGAATGTGTCATGTGCATCCTTTCTTCATAAGCTTGCTAGCCTAGAAGCCTGTCGGTCCTTTTTTTGACCCGTCTTTGTACGCCCAGCCTCCGTCATGGTGTAACACTCTTCCTCCTATTTGGCCCAAAATCTGTTCTCTCTATCTATATGCCTTCCTCTTGCTTTTTTCTCATACATTTCTAGTTTTTTTCTAGGACCTCAATCGCTTTTTTTTCCAGCTTCTAGCATAGAAAGTTGCAGCAGAATTAACACAATTGTTTTCCTTCAGATGAGTACATGTTACTAGACGTTATACAACCCAAACCCCTTATCCTCATCTGACCTGCTCATCTATAACTTATATTCGACAGAAATGGTATCTTTTAGTAACGTACTAAGAAATATCGCGAGCTTGTGGGCAACAGTTTCTTGTCTCCAATAAATATTCAAATCAAGTAACATATGAAGTCAATGGAAGGAAGAAGGGAACATTCTGCCTCATAGTTATTAATCTTGTTTAACATTACTTTTATATATTCCAGATTCATCTACTAATGAAAGAAGCAAAGATACGACGGGATTTCTTATGCTGATCTAACAAATAACTTTGAAGAAGTATCAGCAAACTCAATGAGACAGACTGAAAACTTCTTTACTCCAACACCTTAGGACTTCTTATGCTGCTCAATTTCCTCATAAATATGCATAGCCATAACCAACTATGCTTCTTGGACCCTCTAAAATGTTGTCGCACCCATATCGGATTCTCCATTATTTTCAAACGTTGGAGGATCCGACCCACACACGACAACATTTTTGAAGAATTCGAGCAACATAGGTGACTGGATGATATTTTCCATTTTGGAAAGAAAACTAAAATAAAGTAAATCGAACACCTCATGTGACCAGGAGGTCACCGTTTCGAGCCGTAGAAACAACCTCTTACATAAATGCAGGGTAAAGCTGCATATAATAGACCCTTGTGGTCCGACTTCCCTGACCGCGCACATAGCAGGACCTTAGTGCATCGGGCTGCCTTTTTTATAATCCCATCCTCTAGATGTAATGAAGGTAACACTAATTTGAAAGGATTATTTTGAGCAATCACTTTATGTGCCCTATTGTTAAGGGACAAAATGATTAATTGAGACAAAAGTGAAGTTCCAAAGCATGGCATCAAATCACCAATCCGAGGTTATTTACACGAACGTAAAAGATTGGTCAACTCTTACGACTTAAGCTTCCGACAATGGAATTAAGTGCTCCAATTCACTCCAAAACATTCTCCGGACTAGGGAAGTACTTATTATTCAGTTATTTTCTAACCATTTTTATTTCCTACCAAGAAACATAACTCTTATCACACATATTTTTTATACAGAGAAAATATATAGAAACAAAGGGAAGCAGCAAAATCAAGAATTGAGAGAGGATAACTACCATTAGTGTGGCCGTGGAAAGAGCAGTCCTTTTCCAGCTCCTTTTCTTTAATGAGTATTGCACCTCAAACATTTCTTCTTATTTTGGGAATTTACAATTTGCAGTCCTTTTCCAGCTCCTCTTTCTAAAGATGGTTTTCTCCGGCAAGAAATATTTGAAGAATTGGGAAACAATATATTTTGGGAAAGAAGAAATGAAGAAATGGTTTGCAGCTGGAAAGTTCACTGAACTGATATCAGTGGCTACTATTTGGCGTCGTTTCAATTTATTTGATATAGTTAAACTCAAAATAAATTTAATTAAAGAAATGAAAAAATATAAGTATATATTTTGTAATCTTAAGCTTGTCATATTTGTGGATTTTAAATCTTATCATCATATCATACTATATTATAAGCGTGAATGACCAAAATGCAAAGTTAAAAGACCAACATTTATTCGTGTGGTCCTCTGAGCTCCCTACATATGATTAATATTATGAACAAGACAATGAAGATTAGAGTGACTCATTAAATTACTGAGTCGCTAACCCTTTATATAGTTCAAAGCCGCAATCCAGACCTCTTGCTGACAACAAGTATGCAAGCAGGAAGTAACAAGTTTCAAAAGATTAGTATGGCAACGACTCAACGAGTATGCTGATTACAAAGATGATGACAAGATGGTAAATTCTATTTTTTAACATCTATCATCTCCTATTATATTTGGTCTTATATGTAATATGTCGTAGAGTATATGATGAACTTTATAGATAAAACATGAAGGAAATAGACACTACATTCTTAAAAATTATTGTAATGAACTTTTAATGTGTATTGGGAAAAAAAGGAAATTGGAAGATTGTGGAAATATGAAGTAGTAGAAGAAGAAAACTGAATAATCACCCATTTAATTAATAGATCGGCTCTCTCAACGTCTTATTTTTTTTTTTACTTTTGTTAGAGGGTAGTTAAAAAGAGTTATCATAACAAAATTGTGAGTGTCACAGTCGATTTTCACTGTAACATTTTAATTAACTATTTTCTTATTTCTTGTGGAAGACGATCGCAATAATTCTGACTATGGTAGCACAGGTCGTTAAGGTGTGTCTTATGCGGAGCGTTGATCATATACTATTCGGCGTGCTTGGCCTTGTTACTTCATGTACTATTTCAATAGTAATTGCTCGGCATCTGACATAATGTCCATTTTTGAAATATTAATTTTTGTCTATAGTCATTTGTGTAATGGTTTGATATATTCAACTATATGAATTTTGTAGTCTTTATGTTGTATGAAAATGTTGAGGGTGATATTGATGATTTTATGGTTTTAGAAGAAAATATAAGCTATTTGATAAGCGGCAACATTTTGATAGTATCACACATTTACAGTATATGTAAGCACTAAGTAACA